CGTTTCCCACCCATATAATTTTAGCTTTTACAAAAAGTAGCCTTCTTGCCGACTCAAGCGTGTGCTTTTGAAATTTGAAACGACTTTCCTGTCAAAGTAAAATGATGTCTTCTTGACTCACAGTAGACGCAATAAATTTCGGTTTTGAATATTTTTCAATTATTGTATTTCAAATACAAATGTTTAAGATATTAAATTAATTGATCTTTAGTGAAACATACAAGGCTAATAATCTACACCAATCAGTCTACCGCTAAAGCCCTAACCAATCGGAGTATTATGTATCAATTCACTTTTTCTTTGAATGAATTATTCCATTTAGATAGAAATATTCGATCCTGCAAACACAAGAACGTGCTAATGTATATACTACCAAACTATTCGGTCTATATGATCTGGAAAGCAAAGCTTTTATGATATTTGGTGGATCAAAATATCAAATTGGATCATACTCAACTAAAAAAAAATACATATGAACGATATCACACTATGATCCATGCTTTCAATGGGTAGATAGAGGAAAACTCCCTTGCCTAAATGTGCAACTGATCAATATCTTGATTTCATGTTATTGTGAGTGTAAACAAGTGTTCCTAAGTCTCTCCTAGTAGACTCTGACCACTGATAGCAGTAGTGTTTTTCTTGAAAACTCATAAACCGATTCAAGAAAGCGTGATACATAGCAATATATTAGGCTCAACAAGAGGAAAAATCAACAAAAACTGTTCTAAAAACCCCCAAAAAGAGGCCTCGAGTTCAAGTAGAAATAACCTCAAATGGCTTTTTATTTGGGTGTTTTGTAACACATTGTAAGATAAAAACACCCAACCAAAATCAAAAACACAAATCCAAAGGAAAAAAACAACAGTTAAATCCGATAATGTCAAGCAAAAAAAAAGGAGAAAAAAAAACCCTAGAAATATATCTAGGATGATGATGACGTCACAACACAAACCATGACATCACTCAATACTTGTAATCCTTCACGTGAAGGCTCTCTGCTGCTCCATCACCAAGCTTGGCATCACCTTTGTAGGTTCCAAGAGTGGCTTCCGAGTTAGCCTTGCACCTCACGTACAAAGCCTCTTGAGCCGCCTTCACGTTCTCCTCTTTGCCAGACCATGTCTTCAATGTGCTCTGTTGCAACGCACGGCCGAAAGAGAAAGACAATGACCATGGCTTCTTCGTCTTCAATTGGTTCATTGCGTTCAAGTTCCTCGTAGCTTCTTCCTCGCTCTGTCCTCCAGACAAGAACACGATAGCTGGAACAGCTGCTGGGACGGTTCTCTGAAGGGCACGGACGGTGTGCTCAGCGATGACTTCGGGTGAAACCTTGGGGCTGTCTGATCCGGGTGTGACCATGTTAGGCTTCAACAGAGTTCCCTCGAGCAAGACGTGGTGGTCGCTGAGCGCCTTGTAGCAAGCTGCAAGAACACGTTCCGTCACAGCAGCGCATTTTTGGATGTCATGAGAACCATCGACTAGGATCTCGGGTTCAACAATCGGGACAAGACCGTTCTCCTGGCAGATAACAGCGTATCTGGCTAATCCGTAAGCGTTCTCGTGGATGGAGAGCTCTGATGGCTCATTCTCTCCAATTTTGAGGACTGCACGCCACTTGGCGAAACGAGCACCAGCTTCGTAGTACTTCTTGCAACGGTCACCAAGACCGTCAAGACCTTGAGTGGTGGTCTCACCGTTGGTTCCAGCTAGCTCAACGGTACCCTTGTCAACTTTGATACCTGGAAGAACTCCTCCTTCCTTCAAGATATCGACAAAAAGCTTGCCTGTTCACCAAAAAGCAATAAACCAAATCAGAAATCTATACAAACACATACTGTGAAACAACCACTACGTAAACAGATAGAGATAAAGCAATTCAATTTCGTACCATCGGAACTCTTTTGGTAAAGTGTTTCCTCGAAGAGAATGACACCGCTAAGGCATGGAAGAGCACCAGGGGCGGTGAAGAGAAGCTCACGGAGGTTACGTCTGTTGGTTTCATTGTTCTCGACGTTGATGCTAGAGAGACGCTTTCCGATGGTACCGGTGGATTCATCGGCGGCGAGAATACCTTTCCCGGGTGTGCCGATGTAGGCAGCGTTAGCGATCAACTCATCTGCGAAAGGTTTATCAAAAATCAGAAAACGCATAAACAATTACGCAACCGAAAAAAAAACACCAAATCGACATGAGAGACGATGACTCAAAACTCCAGATCGTGAATACAATTGATTAGATCCGATATTTGGCTACGAAAGATCGATAAGATTAAAAGCTCTCAGAGTCTAAAACAGATCTACGCAAATTTCGAATCATAGTAATCATCTACAGATCTATATGAACTCTTGGAAAGCATCTAATCCAGATCTAGAGGGTTAAACACACGAACAAGAAGCAAATCAACAGATCTAACGATTACAAATCTAATAGAGTAACCTAATCGGAGCAGATGATTTCCGACGACGGGATAAACAGATTCGAGGAAA